AAAAAAAAAAGAAAAATTTATCTATAGCTGCAGCATCTTTAGCAAAAAATTACTCATACTAAATCAAAACTTTTTTTTTTTATTTTGTATTGTATCAATGATTTATAAAACTGTATTCTCAGCAAATCAAATAACACTTTTTGATCGCTAAATTGATACAGCTGTTTGATTACAACACAAAAGCAATTGCAGCCATATAGCAGTGAAAAAAAATGCAACAAGTAATTATACTTCAACTATTGTCCTGTATCTGATTACAAATATAATTACTACAAAACTGATAGATTTGTTGCATTAAAAAAAAAAAAAAACGAAAAAGAAGGAAGAAAAATAAAAAAGGCAAAAAAAATGTTGCTTTTCTTTTTTTTTTTTCTCTCTCTCTCTGTAAAAACGATTAAGGTGATTAAATTGCACTGATGAAAAGTGCTGCATCAAATAACATCAATTTTACTACACTACACACAAAGATCAACATTAAAAAAAAGGCAAAAAAAGTCAACAAACAATTTAATCACCTCTTATATGTATAGCTATTAAAAAGCTAAAAAAGAAAAATTATAACATATGTTTGCTAAAGTCAATTTTGTTGAATAGGCAGGAAGAAATTGGATGAATAGGAAGAGGAAAAAACATTTGCACGACATCTTTGCGATGATTTTAAAGCAACCAATTGAACACTTAATCTGTGTCTGCCGACAGATCTTTGAACACATTTACACTCAAAAACACACACACACACACACACACACACGAAAACACGTATTTGAAGAATCAAAGTTATATGTCCAAAAGTTAAAAAAAGGGAAAAGATTGAGCACTTTTTTGTTCTTCTTCTGAAGTATACATCAAAATATTACTCTTTGTACATCCAAAGTATAGTGATTGAAAAATGACCGAACAAAAAAAAAAAAAAGGCTGCAGGTTTTTGAGTTCTATTCCTCACCTCCCCGTTCCACTCCCTGACAATTACTTCAAACTAAATTGTAATGATATACCAAATACATTTGATTATTAAAAACAGAAAGAAAGAGTAGCTTTTTTTGAAACTTTTTTTCTGTTGAAAAAAAAAAAAA